CGAGTTTCACCTGTATCTGACGGATTGAGACGATGTATTACAACTATCACTGACAACAATATGCTAAAGTCTCCTCTCCCTCTGGCCCCATTACACATTTACTTCCATTAATGGAGCCTTGCCGTTGCGAGGAAACATTTGGATCATTTTGGATGTGGATTTTAGCCCAGAGAAACTTGATTCTTAACAGGCAAACAAAGCAAAAAAAAAACCCAAAAACAATCGCCTTGCTTAAAGTGACATTAAACCCTCTGATTTTTTAACATAAAACAATACTGTAATGTGTGCCTTACTGTAATCCATGGTAGTTTCCCCTCTCTTTGCTGCTCTTCCTTTTAAATCCGTATCTCTTCTCATGCTGGGGCAGAACTTCTGTTTTGCAGCAGACTGCCTTGTCTCATGAATGGATACACAGTGTCTGTGTATACGTTTGTATAGGCTTGAAACCTGAGCCAGCACTACAGGAAGAGGCCCTGAGCTGAAAAGGGAAGTTCTACCCAAGCATGAGAAGACATGAGGATTTAAAAGGAAGAGCAGCAAAGAAAAGGGAAACAACCATGGATTACAGTAAGGCACACATTACAGTATTGTTTTATGCTACTTTAATGTCACTTTAAGGTTTATGTAGAGGGAAACTTACACAGTATTCTCTACCGCACATGGACCTTGTCACATGCTTTATCCCTTTATCACAAAAATATTGCATGCACGATTTTTTGCGATCGCACTGCACTAGAACGCAGGGCATTGCAGTTTCGTGACATGAACGCACTGGACCACATAGTCCTACCTGTGTTCAGGGCTGGAGGGGGGGCGTGGTGGTGCCATTAATTTCAGTGGCACTGCAGAAACGCCTCCCTGCCGCAGTTCGATTTCCCACACCAGAACGCTTCTCAGTGGCACTGCAGATACGCCTCCCGGCCGCAATCCGGCGGCGGGAGGCTTGTCTGCGGTGCCAATGAAATGAATGGCTTCACCACGCCCCCTCCCGCCCTGAATGCGAGGAGGTTTATGGGGTCCAGTGCGTTCATGTCACGAAACTGAGGAGAACGGGCCACCCCATTCCCCCCTTTTCTTATTTCCATAACATAAGGGAGAGGAGATAAGTAGTCTGTATGAGAGAACTGACAACACTGCTTGGGATTTCAGGGCAGCAAAGGCACTGCGTTGTCATCTCATTACAGGAAGTTAGGAGCTCACTGGATTTTTTTGGCTGATCAACAGGCATTGGCTTAGGGGCACAATAGCAATCCGATAAGATTTCCAACCTGTACAAGCACCCCCCCCATTACAAGCTCTTGGCTGCACATTGTCGCCTTTATAGGAAACGTCTTACCAGTCACGTGCTTAACTTTTAGTTAACTACTCTGTAGTAAAGTCATATTGCATAGTTTGTGACACCCTCAAGCCCCTGATTGGACAATAAAGGGGAAGCAACATACTGTCTCCTCCTGTCAGAAGTAGAGATAGGAAGGGCTGAAAAAATTTGGGAAAAAGTTTTTTTTCCAAAGCCATTTTTGCTTTTTTTCTTCATGGCTTCAAAATGTCCGGGACGTTTACATCTCTAGTCAGAAGGCTTCCGGTGTTATAGGGACAGCACTGTGCAATGTAATAGACCAGAGGAAGCCAATCATGGTGCTCCATCTTTGGTGAAACTACAAGCCCCATGAGGCATTGCGAGAGTGACAGCCACAGGCAACGGCATGCTGGCATTTGTAGTTACACCACACCTCACCTGGAGTGCCAAGGTTGCTTATCCTTGTAGTAGACTCTGATTGACTTGCAGTTTGCACCCTCCCAGTCTGAGTGCTGCTGTGCACGGGATTACAGGAGCCCAATATCAAGACAGATGAGGATAATTTTGCTGGCTTTATGGAAAGATATCAACTTTTTTTTTCCATAATTGGTCCGTTTTTATATATCTGCCTCAAGTATACCTTTTATTAACCCACATTTCATATTCATCATATTCAGATCCAACAATGGGAGCTGTCAGGAAACAATGGATAGGATTTCAAATCTCATCGGAGGGGAGTACGAGGGGGGCAAATATTATATTCTGTAATTATAATGCGGTTAGCCGCTGGTGATTAGTCCAGCTGCCACTTCTTTTTGAAATACTCTTATCTTCTGATTTGTGGTGGTGTAAAAAGAATTAAGTCAGCTGTGGATTTCCTCGCACGGAATCAGCGTGAGGCCCTAAGTTTGTGTTTCTTGATAATGCAACACACTTCATCGCCTCTTCACGTCCTTCCCTCCCGCCTTGCTGGAGAGGTGTCGGCTCGCAGAACATTTTTTTTACATATAAATCCGCTTATTAAAGTCTCACTGGGAGCCCAAAAAAAACTGAGCGTACAAAAGCATTGTGCAGATCGCTGTGTGGCCACGAGGGTGGCGCGATGATTCAGCGATAAAAAGCGTGTTGGCGGTGAATCTGTTTACTTTTCTGGGCCGTGCGAAGATGAGTTCAGTAACTTTTTTTTGCTGCTTTCTGACAGATTTTACGTCATTAAGCACAATGGGAAAATTACCGGCTTTGTAGTGGAAGTTCTCTGATAACTGTCCTGATGACAACCAGTTTGGTTAGGAAAATGAGAGAGCGCGAAAGTATATGCTGGGTACGTTGTTCTGCTTCCTCTATGATTAATGAAATGTCACAGTGACCCTTCAAAGAGCCATTTTCTAGAATCATGCAAAACCAACCAGATAGTGTGTCTTATCAGTTTTTGTCATTTTGGACAGAGGTGCCAGGGTTCGGATTGGCTATTCTAATATACACCCATAACCTAAAGACCACGGGGAAGAAGGCAAGCCGGCGGAGGCAGTGCGATGCTTTGGCAATGTTCTACTGGGAAACCTTGGATCCCGCCATTCATGTGGATATTACTACGACACAAACCACCCACCTAAACATAGTTACTGACCAAGTACACCCCTTCATGGAAATGGTATTCGCTGATGGCAGTGGCCTCTTGTATGTGGCTCCATAGCCGCAGGCTTGTCTGGGTGCCCATGCTGACCCGTGTACACCACCAAAAGCGCCTACAAGGGGCACGTGAGCATCAGGACTGGACCATGGGGAAATAGAAGAAGGTGGCATGGTCTGATAAATTATGTTTTCTTTTTCATCAGTTGGATGGCCGGGTGTGTGGGTGTCACTTACCTGGGCAAGAGATGGCAACAGGATGCACTATGGGGAGAGGACAAGCCGCCGGAGGCAGTGTGATGCTTTGGCAATGTTCTGCTGGGAAACCTTGGATCCCGCCATTCAGGTGGATATTACTACGACACAAACCACCGATCTAAACATTGTTACTGACCAAGTACACCCCTTCATGGAAATGGTATTCCCTGATGGCAGTGACCTCTTGTATTAGGCTCCTTAGCGACAGGCTTGTCTGGGTGCCCAAGCTGACCCGTGTACACCACTAAAAGCGCCTACAAGGGGCACGTGAGCATCAGAACTGGACCATGGGGAAATAGAAGAAGGTGGCCTGGTTTGATGAATGTTTTCTTTTACATCAGTTGATGGTCGGGTGTGTGTGTGTCACTTATCTCGGGAGGAGATGGCACCGGGATGCACTATGGGAAGAAGACAAGCCGCCGGAGGCAGTGTGATGCTTTGGTAAATGTCCTGTTGGGAAACCTCGGGTCCTGCCATTCATGTGGATGTTACTTTGACCACCGACCTAAACATTATTACTGACCAAGTACACCCCTTCATGGAAACGGTATTCACTGATGACAGTGGCCTCTTTCAGCAGGATAATGCGCCCTGCCACACCGCAAAAATGGTTGAAGAATGGTTTGAGGAACACAACAACGGGTTTGAGGTGATGACTTGGCCTCCAAATTCTCCTGATCTCAATCCAATCGAGCATCTGTAGGATGTGCTGTGCATGAAGGACCTTCCTATTTTAGTGCATGGTTGCTTTAAGTATTGATTCTAGTAAATAGGGAAATTACCATTAGGCAACTTCCACAGAGTGCAATGGGTTTAGGTTGAGCTAGATGGGCCTGTGTCTTTCTTTATTTCCAACCTCACAAACTATGTAATGGCCGTAGGTCAGCTTATGCCTCGGATTGACTGGGGGCGCATAGAGGAAAGCATCAGACTGGTTGCATAAAGCCCACAAGTCTTTTTATAAGTCACACTTCAAAGACAAGCCAATGCCCTTTTGGGCTCAAATGATCCCCCTTTTGTCATGGCTACAAAAAAGATTGCTTTTTTTGTAATTATCATGCTATAAGTATACATTTATCTTACTGTTATATGCTCCTGTGTGACTAAGTGGGGGGAAAAAAAGTCTCGAAAAAGTTAAAACTATTGCAGCCGCCACATCTAAGGACTGGTGAGCAACAATACATGAACGTTTTGTACTTGGGCTTTAATTAGACTTAAAAGAGAACTATGGGTTAAGTGTTTTCCCCCATAGTTCTCTTTAGGGTGGCAGGAGGACATATACTAGCGTCCTCCCGTCACCCAAAACTCAGTATATCACGAGCTACAGCTTGCGGTATACTGAGACCTCCGCAGCCTGGACGGATCCTGACAATGCTGTTGAGATTCACCCAGCTGTGTGACTGACAGCTGGCTCTGCCTATCTAGAGGCAGAGCCAGCTGTGCCCGCCCCCTCCCCTGTTCGTTCCTCCAGTCATCGCTGGAGGATCGGAGAGGGGAGGGGGGGAATCCTTGCGGAGAGCGGTGACTGACAGTCACGGCTCTCTGCAGGGAGATGATAGAGAAGTGAGCGAGCGACGGTATGTGTTCGCTCACTTCCCGATCTATTGAGCCGACGTGTGACAGTTTCATTGTCACACGTCGGCTCGTACTATGAGGGTGAGTGAAAATCACCCACCTCATAGTTCTCCTTTTAAATGTTGCAGAGAGTTAGGACAAATTTCTAAACTGTGCAAAAGATTTCATGTTTTTTTTTGTTTTGTTTTGCTTTTTTGTTTTTTTTCTGCTTCCCAATAACCGTGTGGATTTTTTTTTACAGGAAATAAACATAAAAGTGAATTCCAGCAGCTTGTGGAGCAAGTCAAGGGGCGAATGAAGGCCGGGAAGAAGGTGAAGGAAGAGCCTGTGGCTGATAACATCACAGGTGGGCTTTTTTTTATTTATTTACTAAGAAAATAAATGTCTTCTGCAGGCAGCCTGTAGTGGGTGGAGCCTGATGGGCCCCTCCCACAGCTCTGCTCTCTGTACAGGCTATAATGTCTCCTCTACTTTTTCAATGCCATATTGGAGTATGCAAATACACAAAATGGATTTATATCATTTGTGGCTATTGAAGAGTATATTTAAATAAGAGTTTTTGGTGCCTAGAGTTCAGCTTTAAAGATAGTGTCTCCTAAAGAGACGCTGTCTTGGCTGAATGGTATCAGGGGGGTGTAAGGGTTATCTCCTAAAAAGGCCTTTTCCTTGACTGGAGCAATAATAAAAGAGGCCCTGTCCTTTGGTCATCAGTGGTAGAGCATTGTCGGGACCATCTCCTAAAGAAGCCCTGTCCTTAGGTGAATGGTACCGGAGCAGTGTTATCATTGTCTCCTGAAGAAGCCCAGTCCTTAGGGGAATGGTACCGGCGCAGTGTTATGATTCTCTCCTGAAGAAGCCCAGTCCTTAGGTGAATGGTACCGGAGCAGTGTTATGATTGTCTCCTGAAGAAGTTCTGTCCTTAGGTGAATAGTACCGGAGCAGTGTTATGATTGTCTCCTGAAGAAGCCCAGTCCTTAGGTGAATGGTACCGGCGCAGTGTTATGATTGGCTCCTGAAGAAGCCCAGTCCTAAGGTGAATGGTACCGGCGCAGTGTTATGATTGTCTAATGAAGAAGCCCAGTCCTTAGGTGAATGGTACCGGAGCAGTGTTATGATTCTCTCCTGAAGAAGCCCAGTCCTTAGGTGAATGGTACCGGAGCAGTGTTATGATTGGCTCCTGAAGAAGCCCAGTCCTTAGGTGAATAGTACCGGAGCAGTGTTATGATTCTCTCCTGAAGAAGCCCTATCCTTATGTGAATAGTACCGGAGCAGTGTTATGATTCTCTCCTGAAGAAGCTCTGTCCTTTGGTCATTAGTATTGGTGCAGTGGTAGGACCATCTCCTAAAGAGTCCCTGTCCTTAGGTGAATCTTTTTCACTGTGAAAATCACACAATTGAAAGCTCCTTATAACCGAAAAAATATGAAATGTAAAATCTGTTGAAAATACATTAAAAATTGAATTCAAACCATTCCAAACTCGACCTTTAATCCTTTTGGATCCACGCGATTAACTGTTACTGCAATACAGAATTAGTCAGGCGTCCATCTTGTGTCTCCTCCTCCTCCGCTCCTCATTTTCCGCAGGTTTGACTGGTACACAATTGGGTAAAGGAACCTTTTGTGATAACTCTGCAACCGGTAAACGATTCCTGCACAACTTCCGCAGCTTGTTCTTTTATTGCTGTAATTTTATTGCTGTAATTTTATCATATTACTCAAATAATATCATTAAATTCCCAGCAGCCTTCGTATTCTTCTTCTAGATTTGATGTCTTTCTTGATGGTATTATTGCAATATAATAATTATGGTGTGGCGAGCGGCCAGGTTTCCTGCCACAGACACCATAACTCACGTGTCATTATTTGGGGATTGCAGGAATATGATGCAGCATGAATTTACTTAAAGGAGAACTATGGGGTCAGTGTTTTTCCCCATAGTTCTCCTTAGGGTAACGGGAGGACACAAACTAGCGTTCTCCCGTTGCCCTAAGCTTAGTATACCGCGAGCTACAGTTCGCGGTATACTGAGACGCCGCAGCCGGATCGGATCCCGACATCAAAGTCGAAATCTGCCCAGCTGCGTGAGTGACAGCTGGCTCTGCCTATCTAGAGGCAGAGCCAGCTGTACACGCCCCCTCCCCCGTCCGTTCCGCCAGTCAGCGCTGGCAGATCGGAGCGGGGAGAGGGGAATCCAGCCCCTCCCCCTGTCACGGCAGAGAGCCGTGACAGGATCGAGAGGTGAGCGAACCCGGTATGTGTTCGCTCACCCCCCTATCTACTGAGCCGACCTGTGACAGTCTGATTGTCACAGGTCGGCTAGAACTATGAGGTGAGTGAAAATCACTCATCTCATAGTTCTCCTTTAAAGGGACGGCTCTGTCAATAATTGGCTGCCCTGACCGTAAATGTGAATATTGTTGTGGTTTATTTAAATTATTTCAAGCATTCGGGACACGGTTCCTTTCAGTAAATATGATTTAGTAAAACCGGACCGTAAGAGTTCACTGTGCCAGGTTCCTTTTATGTCTATACAGACTTTTATTCATTGCACCCTATGGAAAAAGCTCGAGCCCTGGGAGACTGTGTACAGCTATGCACCACTGGCTATGACATGTTGGTATAGACCTACATCTCTCATTTGTATATGAACTGGAGCCTTTCTTATTGGACACAACAGGTGCTTCTGGAACCTAATGAAGCTCAAAGCTGCTTACGCCCGGATGCAACAGGTCATTGTTACCAAGAAATATACCAAAACGCATCTGCAAATGCCAAGAGAAATACAATATCTTCCATTGCCTGGCTATCACACCAATCCACTGACACTTCTATCTGGATAAGCATGCAGTCAGTGACGTAAACTCCTTCTCTGAATAGCTGTTTCTGAGTCAGTAACTAAAAGTATTGATGCAGGGCAACCAGAAAACTAGCATTTTCCAGAAGAAGTTAGCAATGATAGCCCATCATTTCTCTCCGTACAGGTTTCCTGTTTTCGCCCTCCAATTTTCTAGACCACCATCAATGTACAGAGCACTTTACATTACATTACATTATTCAGTCACATCAGTCCCTGCTGTAAAGGGGTTTGCAAGCAAGCAGTAGATATATGCAAAAAGTTTTTTTTTTAAACCCGCTTTAAAAGCGGTTTAAACTTACCCCTGTCTTCGCCGAGCGCTCCAGTCCGAAAATCCGGAACTGCTCGAGCGGCCACAAAGCATCTTGGGGCGGCGCATGCGCAGTTCGGATTTTCGGCTGGGAGACGAAGAGAGAGACGCAAGGTAAGTCTATGGACGGCGTGCATCCGCATGCAGACACCGTGGGACAGGAAGTGCCAGCAAGGACAGAGGAGTCAGCGCTGGATCGGAGACCCGCAGCAGCGCTGGGGAGAAGGCTGAAAAGGAAAGGAAAGAAGAGGAAGATCGGATTAAGAGACAAATGTTCCTTGCGCTCTTCCCCAATTTTCTCTCCCCCTCCAGCTCTCTACCTCATATCAAGTCATCTTCCTATGGCCATAGCAATATTCCTTTCAAGTAAGACAATTCCTCTAAGCCCCCACGAGTTTTGGGAACCGGTGTCTCCTAGTAAACTTTGATATTAAGCATTATTGACTGTGATAAATACCTGATTATGCGAGAGTTCAGTGATACTTTTCTTCCAGTAATTAAAAATGACATTTCAGAGATTTCTCCTCCTTTATCATAAAAAAACTAAATTGACGAGAAGAAAGCGTCGTCTTGAGGGCTCGACAAAAAGTCAATGCATGAAAGAAAGTCGGCTCCATATGGAGGTCGGGGATTTTTATCTCCGCTTGCAGCTTGTCTCTACACACGCTGCATAATATAAATAAAATCTGTTCTTTGTTGTAATTCTCTAAACGACGTGCAAAGTGATGAACTTGTAATATAAGTATAGAACTGAAATCCAGAGGGAAGGCTCTGAGACCATACACCAGTCTTTTTCTTTTTTTCCCCAGGGAAAAAATGCTTGACCCCCCACCCACCACCCAATTAAAAAACTAAACTGCTTTTTTTGATCATTGTCAAACCAGAAATCTGTACAAGGGTAGCTTAGCCCTGAGAACTAACCATGACAGCCACACACATACAGTACACATTCCTCGTGTTCAATGCCTTTAAAAACACTGCAAATACAGAACGACACTGCTTCAAATCTAGTGAGCTGCTCGCTTCCTCTTTGGGCTGACAATACGAAGCCTTTTCTGCACTGAAATCCCAAGCACCATGGTCAACCCTGCCTACTGGACTACAGAACTCCACCTATCCCTCACCCCTCTCTGTCCCGCTCCCACCTAGCTCTGTCTATCCTCACCCGTCTCTTTCCCACATAGCTCTGTCTATCCTCACCCGTCTCTTGCCCGCCTAGCTCTGCCTATCCTCACCCCTCTCTGTCCCTTGCCTGCCTAGCTCTGTCTACCCTCACCTCTCTGTCCCTTGCCCGCCTTGCTCTGTCTATCCTCACCTCTCTGTCCCTTGCCCGCCTAGCTCTGTCTATCCTCACCTCTCTGTCCCTTGCCCGCCTTGCTCTGTCTATCCTCACCTCTCTGTCCCTTGCCCGCCTAGCTCTGTCTATCCTCACCTCTCTGTCCCTTGCCCGCCTAGCTCTGTCTATTCTCACCCCTCTCTGTCCCTTTCCCGCCTAGCTCTGTCTATGTTCACCCCTCTCTGTCCCATGCCCGCCTAGCTCTGTCTATCCTCAACCCCTCTCTGTCCCTTTCCCGCCTAGCTCAATCTATCCCCACCCCTCTCTGTCCCTCTCAACGGTGATACTTTGATTTCTTTCCCAGCTAATCAATGCTTCTGCCCTGACTCCAAGGAGCATGCTTATACACTGTAAAAAAAAGGCTCTTAGGAAATGTAGTTCTGGAGGCCTGCGTATATCAATCGGAACTGATCTGGCAGCTGCCCATACAATAATTTCATAGACCTATTAATATTGCAGCTTTTTCTTGCTACAGGAATAAAGAAAAGAAAAGAAATAATGATGGGACATGCTCTAGACGAGGGTAGGGAGGTTTGCAGGTAAATTTGAGTAATGCCTGGACATATCCTTTAAGCCAGGATAAGATATTCTTCTCTCTATATTACTATTACTTGAGGCGTCTCATTTTTTTTTCGGGTACAGCTGGCTCTGCCTTTAGATAGGCAGAGCCAGCTGTCAGTCACGCAGCTGGGCGGATCCCGGCACAATTGTCGGGATCCGCTTCAGCTGCAGTGTCACAGTATACCGTGAGCAGCAGCTTGCGGTATACTGAGCTTAGGGTGACGGGAGGACGCTAGTTTGTGTCCTCCCGTTACCCTAAGGAGGACTATGGGGAAAAGACTTAA